GACAAGCCAACAGGAACAGTGCAGTTACCTGTAAGGACATCAGGTGGGACCACAGGGAGCTGCAACCCCTGCAGCTGAGCGCCATTAGCAATCACAGTCTCTTCTTAAGAGCATCCTAAATCACTCCCACCATCTACTGCACTTCATTGAATTTCTTCACTTTGACATTCAGGGCACTATGCAGAAATCACATTGCATCAACACCTGCCACAGACCTTCTTAATGCTTTGTTTCAATTAGTCAGACTCCCCTGGTGCACAGCAGTCCCAAAACAGCTGCTAAGCCCTGAGTGAGACTGCTCAGGTCTGCCTGAACATGAGCCTGCAGTGTTCCCAGGTGGCCAGCTGCATCCTGGCTTGTATCAATATGACAGCCAGATCCAGGAAGCAACTGTCTCCCTGTAGTGGACTCTGGCAAGGCCACATCTTGAATACAGTGTTCTTTTGGACCCCCCACGAGAAGAAAAATGAAGCATCACAGCATGTCCAGAGAAAGGCAAGGAAGCTGGTAAGGAGTCTGAAGCCCAGGTCTGATGAAGAACAGCTGAGGAAACTGGGGCTGTTTAGCCTTGAGAAAAGGAAGCTTGGAGAAGACCTTGTCACTCAGCACAGGAGGTTGGGGGTCTGCCTCTTCTCCCAAGTAACAAGCTACAGGACAAGAAGAAATGGGCCTCATCTCATATTTTGCCAAGGGAGGTTCACCTTTGACATTCAGTAGAAATTTCTTCACATAGAAGAACTGTCAAGTGTTGAAGCACGCTGCCCAGAAAAGCGGGGCAGTCACTATTCCTAGAGGTATTGAGGTGTGGCACTTGGGGAAACTGTTGTTGGACTCAGCAGTGTTAGGTTAACAGACTGAACTCAATGATCTCAAACATCCCCTCCAACCTAAATGATGTTGGACTCAGCAGTGTTAGGTTAACAGACTGAATTCAATCTCAAACATCCCCTCCAACCTAAATGAGTCTCACTTAGTGTATGGCCTCTGACAAATTCATATTCTAACTGCCTGGCTCACTGTCCTCATAAAACCAAGAAATTGAAGTGTGTGTGCTCAGAACACATTTCTACATGACTACTTCACCAAAAGGAATAAGGATCCTCTTTACATGTTTTATAAAAGGAATCATTTATCTTGTTTGTGATATACAGGAGCCACTAATCCCATTTTAATAACTGCTTCCTTACACTCAGGAATAGTAAAATCAACTTATGCTAAGAACTGGATGGTTGCACAACTCAGCAGCACATGACCCTATTAACTGCTACAGGTCAAAACACTGGATTGTTTGTCCCCTGTCCTCCCAAGGAAGTAATTCTGCTACTCTGGTGAAACTCCACCTGGAGTACTGAGCACAGAACCTGTTGGAGCAGGTCCAGAGAAGGGCCATAAAGATGATCAGAGGGCTGGAGCAGCTCTCCTGTGAAGACAGGCAGAGCATGCTAGGATTGCTCACCCCAGAAAGAGAAGCTCCAGGGAAACATCACTAGAGCCTTCCACCACTAAAGGGAACGTGCAAGAAAGACTGTGACATGTTAGTAAGTTAAGGAGTTATGGTATTAAACTAAAACAGCAGATTTATACCAGACAGAATGAAGACATCTTCTTCTGTGAGGTCTATGAGACACCCGAATAGGTTGTCCAGCAGTGGTGATGTCCCATCCCTGGGAACATTTATGGTGAGAGAGGAGAGGGCTCTGAATTACTTGACCTAGTTGGATAAATCACTGCTCATTGCAGGGGAGTTCACTAGATGACCTTTAGATGTCCCTTCCAACCCAAGCAATCCCATTAAATGATCCACAAATTAATTTACAGTTGTAAGCACAAATTCTTTCCCAGGAAAAGAAAAACCCACCAATGTAAATAGAGGTTGTCAATTCTAAATTGTTCTAGGAAGACTTTACAAGAAGTTTAAAAGTTCATTGAAGAGTCTTTCATAGAGGAGCACAAAATAATAGGGGAAAAGAGATTTGGTTACGTTTGTTCTAGACAAAAAGGGCACTCAGCAAACCATTATTCTTTTAAGACCGCCTAAAAAGACTAAATCCAGAGTGATCCTGGATGGGCTAGGGGAAAGCAGACTCCTTGAGAGAATCATAGAGCATTTTGGGTTGAAAAGGATCTTTTTTTAAGGTCATCTCGTATAAACACCAAGTAGTTTAAACAATATCCTGAAATTTGGACACTGACTTACAGAAAAAGGTGAACAGAAGCTTAAAGGGCATTATACACAAATCCAAAGAGGAGTACTACTGACACATCAGTACTGTCTTATAAACAGTACTTCTAATATCCCACCACATCAGCAATATATTAACTATAGCATGCACCTTTGAGTACATATTTATAATTTTTGAGATAATTAAAAGCAAAAAAACTATCCATACAGTAATTGCTTCTGGACTAGCAGAATATCAATATTCTACAGCAACATGTTTTTAAATATAAGTCCTGCCATAATTTCTATACTTTCTACAGTCTCACAACCTTAAGGTGAAGGAGCAGAAGACCCTTCTTCATGTTTGTCTTAAGCACCTACTACACAAATTCATACTACTTGGGAAAAAAAAAACCCAAATATCCCAAACAAAACAAAAACAAACCCCCACCAAATACAAAATCCCCACAAACAAACAAACCCTTTAGTTGAAGCTTGAACAGTCACTGGGACAATACAAATGTCTTTTTAAACTCAGCTGGGGCCTTTTTCTCTAAAAGAACTTACAATATGAGTTTGTCACCCAAGCTTCAGCTCAAATCTTAGAGCAGAAATAAAGTAGGAAGTAAGAATCCATCTGGGTTGTAAAGCTACTTAAGGATTTTTGAGATGCATATTCTACCTGAAGAAACCTCAATTTTCTTAATAGCTTGGAATAATTTTTTTAAAACTTTTTCAGTAACATTAAAAGTGGCAGACATTAAACCTCTTAAATTTCACATCTCTTCTAAAATACTGGTATAGAAAGTAATTCCTGCAAGGAATATAGTGTAGATCTGTTAAGAGAACTTCAAAAATCTCTTTCAGTAAGGCATACAAAAGAAAGCCCTGTGAAATACAGAACGGCTTTCTCTCTTGTTTCTCTGTAGCAATAAAGGATCCCATCACCTTCAGATTAAGATAGTTTAGCACACAAATACCTAGAAGGAAAAAATATTTCCATTTTGACAAGGAATTAGCATCTGTGCCAGACAATCATTCTAATGGACATCCAAGAATACCATCTGTCTGGCTGTCTCATTCCAAGAATAATTCTGTCAGGTGGCAGTGTTTAAAAAGATGTGAAAAGGCTGTCAAACAGCAAACTGGGGTACTTCAGGCACGAAGTAAAACAAACCAAGTGGCATAGCTCTAGAACACCAATTAAATGCAAGCATTGTATTTTTCTATCTTGTCTAAGCAATTGTTTCTTTTGACAAAGAGCTGTCTTAATATTTAAGTACACCCAAAGCTTTTGAGTCTCTCACAGAACGTATTGTGTGCAAGCACATGCAGATGCAAAAGGACTGATTACTGCCTGCTAACTCACAGTTAACATGGTCCACTTGATTTGAGAATACAAGGGGTACAAATTTGCAAAACACTCCAACCATGCACTAATTTTGGAAATGCCTTCAATCACAGCAATGTTAAACAGATGTTTCAACTTTCTGAATGCAACAGCAAAGAGATGTACTTATTGGTTTTGTGTTGTACCATACGTTATGTACTATAGGGTACTTCAACAGAACATTAATAATGCATGGGTTGCTCTACAGGCAAGCAGCTAGCAGAACCAGCACAACATGATCTAATAGAAGAAAAAATCAATTATATTTGTAAAGTCTTGGCTATTCTTCTGTGATAAAACCTCTCAGCATGCCTGTAAGAACCTAGTACCATTTCAAGTGCACCCTACAATCAACTTGCTCACCAGATGATCCTGTGCATAACACACAAACAGAAAACGTGTACTCTATGTAGGCATCTTCTGGTTTAAGCTCTTCTTTTGGTGGTGGGACTCTTCAATGAGACAGCTATACATAGGGGCCTCTGTATTTTCTAAGGGCTACAGCAGAAAGCCTCAGTTAAGGTCTGGGGCAACCAAGCCAACCTAAATCAAGTCAAAAAGAAATCTGCATTTGCAAAGAAACAACTACCTTTTATCAATAAACTGACGTCACAGCTTTGAAACAACATGCAGGCTTGTTGAGATACTGAAAGCTGGAAACGACTCCCTAATTCATAATTCAATAGTAGAAAAACCCTTGCAAAAAAGCTGCTACCACAGAAGTTAAGCACAATCAAGCCATAACCTTTAAAACAGAGGAGTCTGAAAAAACCATGGCAAATCAGTATCATGGGAACACTCAGTATTATCTTCAGTAACATGAAACAGTGAGCAGAGAAACTGGTATGGGCTTTGCTTTTTCCAGGTTAATTTATGCTATCAGAACATCAGTACAAAGCTGCATAAAGTGGCTCAAAAAAAATTTATCATTCTTCCCCACCCTCTTTATTAAGTTTTATCCACAACACTCCTGAGAAGCAGTCCTTGGACATTTGCTCTAGCCATATTATCTTACATATCCAGTTCCCTTCTCTGTATTCACAAACATGCAATTCTGGCTAAGTCTTTGCCTAGCTATTTCTATCTCTAAGTCTTCTGGAAATTTGAAGCTGAACATGCAGTCCTAAACAGCCTCACATACATACATATCCTTAACAAGAGAGGCATAGTTTTTATTTTATTGTCTGGAGAGACTGAGGTGTTTGAGTAGGAAGAAAAAAGCAAGCTAGGACCTGACACAAAGAGACTGTTCTCTTTTCTCAATTCTATTCTTTTGAAGCTTCAGCATCTACACAAAATGAAGGTTTATTACTAGAGATTTATAGCAACTGGAAATTTCACATACAGTAGTAAGTTTTTAACAGCTTTAACAAGCTGTTATTTAGATTTGTCACACCAGAAATTTACGAAACCAATGCAAAGTAAAAATTTATTTCACTGTTTCACAATACACATCTAAAATCTACATGATTATTAAAACAGTCATACACATTCTTTGATTAACAGTTTGCATCACATAACAAAGGCTTATATAAGTGCAGTATTTTCTCAGAAGTTTAAAATACAGGTATTGCTAAGATTTTTCAAGTAAAAAATCTTGTATTGGCTGACTGAGTATCCAATACAGATAACATTCTTCCATTTTAAGTTACATACAGGAATTTTAGGATTCTCTTCATTACTTACCCAAAAATAAGTGATGCTCAAGACTGCAGGTACATAGACTGTCATCAATGAACATAATCACATTGATTATGTCATCTAAAGGCAAGCAGGACTTACAAGGGTTCAGTTCAGTTACAACTGCTCATCTTCTTTTGCACTGATTTAAAAGCTCAGTCTTAAAACACATTCTCTTGGGCAAATAACTACTTCCATTTTTGAACTGCAGGAGTTAACTGGTCAATATGAGTCAAATTGTAGTTAACGAAAAACCGTGTGTTAACGGAAAACAATATGCAAACTGTGTAATATGCAAACTGTACCTTAAAGCTCAGAGAAAAATCCACATAAAGGAAACAAACTCTCTAACATTCCAGTCAGCTATCATGGGAAACACACAAACAGTAACACTGAAGTTTATCAACTCTTACAACTTTGAACTTCAAAATACTCAAGCAACAACAGTATCAGAACAGGTAGAACATGAGCACAAACATAACTCGAAGTAACTTTGAGAATGTAACTTTGTTACATTCTGTATAGCTAAATTGAACTGTAGTACCATCTAGTTCATTAATTTAGATACTCTGAAGTCTTTGGTGATCAAATGGCTTTGTGTACTGTCTTTCCTTTTCTGAAGTGGTATGTCTTACCCTCCTGGGATGGGACAGAAGAGAGGACAAGAAAAAAAACTCAATCAGAATAAAGAAACCAAAGTTTCATGAAAGCTATCTCCAGACACCCTGTACTCTATTCACCCCTCTCCAAAACTGAGGAAACACAGATTCTACATTCCCATTTCAGAGTACACCTGTCTAGTTCACATATGTTGTTTTAGAAAAAGGAAGCAGGGTCTTAGAAATTAATTACCTGAAATTACACGACTTGGAATGTAATCAGAGATTGCAAATCTACAAAGATGGAACACATACAGCAAAAAAATTACAACCAGCTACCAACCTGGACTACAATTTATTCGTTAAAGCAGAGATAAAGCATAACTAGCCACCATCCACAGTAGCTATTTCATTGTACAGACTATCAAGGTTTAAATTCAACATCCTCCGTCCAAACTAGGGAGTATTCCACTGTTTTCAGCCATGTCACTGAGAAATGACTAGCCAGACTTATGCTCTATTTGTTCATTAGTTGACTGTTCAGCAATTTTTATGCTGTCCTGATTAAACCCACTGAATCCAATTTCATCACTTCTTTCCATCATTAAGCAACAACTGAGAGCTAAACATCTCAGAGCATGTACAAGGAAGAAAAAATTCAAGTGGCATTCACAGATATTAATTGCTTCATTTTATGGAACCCTGTAGGTAAACACACTGACGGTCAGCTATGTTTCAGGGATATAATTTTACTTTCACTACATACCTTTACACTGCTGTCTTGTGATACAAACTCATTTGTCAGCTGGTTTTCAGGATTAGACAGACAGGATAGTACTGTTTGCATGCCCCTCTCCACGAACTTCTGAAATACAGTTATTGGTGTATTTTGGTGTAACATTTTTCTTAGTTGGAGCATTACTAGCTAGCAATGCCAGTGTGTCACAGGGTTTACTTGGAAATCAGGATTCCTCAACTGCCTTGTGAGATACTTGTAATTTTTTTGTCCACCCCCCAAATCTTTTAAAATTACTAACTCATTATCTCCCTTCAGTGTTACATCATAACAATTCTAATCAGTCACATGTCAGTTCTCTTGTGGATAAGGCTGGCAGCAGAGAAATGAAATTTCTCCTTTAGAAAACTGAATTCAGAGCCAACTGTTCACTAAATTAGGGCTACCTTCCACAAAACAGTGAGAAAGGGAGAAAGTTACCAACTCAGATATTTGAAGCTTAAAATAAATCTACCTAAGACAGCAGGCAATGCTATTGAACCTTTTTTAGTACCTGCAATTTTCCCTGGAATTTCCACAGATTAGGTAAAGTCTTGTCAGTAGACTTAATCAGGTAGAACACACACTTTTTTTTCCAGCCCTCAGCACTGCAAACAAGCACTAACAGTTTCAAGGAAATGTGAGACTTCTGAAGCTGTACAGATACATGGGACTTAACAACGGGCTGAACACAGCAACTATAACCCTGATTTGTAGGATATCTGTCCAAGGCCCTTGACAAAGCCACATAACCCTCATGTGCAAATTTCTGTGAATGTTATTTATGATAATGAATAGTAAAGTTTTGAGAAAGCACTTACCTTTTGTGGGCTACTAGGCAACTGCATGAGCTCTGGAACAGCACATTCCATCTGTATAAATACTGGATCCTCAGAGCCATGATAGTTCACTGAAGGATACACCTATAGTTTTTAAGTATTACAATGTTTCAGTAACACTGGAAAAACATGCACAGTTATGGTGCCACTGATCCTCATCTATCCCTAAACTGTGCCAACTTTACCTTCACAGTTTTGCTAAGTTTCATGAGTAAGGAAAACACTGTGTCACGACCCATTTTACTAAGACAGTTAAGAATGACACTTAAAGTAGCATAACTGAGATAGTTCTAGAACAGTTGTCTGCTCCTACAGTCAAGCCTGTAACATTTAACAATTAAACCCCATGCACACCTACTTCAAAAAAATTTTGGCCCGCTACCATTGAATTGTAAAGTGATACATTATGGCTGTATCACATTTATGGATGTTATTAAAAAACTATTTCAAGCCAATAGTGTAATCAATATTTCAATTATTTGTGACAGCTTCCAGGAGAAGAATACCATTCAAGAGGAAATTATTTATTACAGCTTTTAAACACTTAATCAAAACTGTAGTCAATAAATATACCTAAATATACAAAGACACCCAGAAGGCAAGTTTAAATTCTGACATTGTAAACAGAGTATTTCTTCCCCTTTCTCAGAGGCACTACTCGCGTTAAGTCACAGAAAGCAAGGAATTTTTTCAGAGGCCAGCAGCACCATCTACAGTTTGTAGCAGCCTGGAAAAACTTCTAAAACCTATTGGAAGGGGCCAAAAAATTCATCAGTATTTGCAAAGAACATGGAGACTTTTTAAGCTTAAAAAAATGTGCATCAGGTCAACTTATATTTCCTTCAATTTCTCCTGAAAAACCAACTCCATTTTGTTTAGAATTCCAGAGTTCTGTGACTAGAACACGTAGCTCTAGTGCCAAAACAGGCAAATCTGTTCCACCAGGTAACTCAAAAAAAGCACTACATCAGTAGAAATTCTGAACAATTACATACAATCTTATCAGCAATTACACATTTTTGTAGACCAGATTACACACATCCAAACAACAAAAAGACTTTTAAAAGTATCAAGCTGTAAAAACAATGTGCCAATTAAGAACAGTTTCAGAAGTCCAACTTTGTAGACTTACCGGAGTTTGAGGTATTACATAATTTCTTGGCTCCCCAGCAAGCCACTGTGGTTGAGTCTTAAAGAAAAATTGGACAAGAACCACCTTTTATTCATTCATTTCCACACAGACAAGTAACTGCTCTGTAGGAGCCACTGCTTATAGCATTTCGTGTTTGGATTTTTCACAAAACAATTAGTTAATACATACTCTTACATCCAGCAAGATACCTTATTTTATTCAACTATCACCTTCTGACTCCAAGTTAAAGAAAATTAGAAAATATTTCTAAATATTAGGAGAATAAGGGAAACCAAATACCTACACTGAAAACAGATCTCAAGCCTCTAGCTGCTTCCAGTTATTCCTAGCTTAGCATCAGTAACAGGACTTAGCCACCCACTATCAGCTAAGCACGTTCTCTAACATTTTATAGTGCAAGAGCCCTTATATACATCAAACAGAATCTGGTAAGATTCTGAATCCAAGTATAGCTTAGCATCAGTAACAGGACTTAGCCACCCACTATCAGCTAAGCACGTTCTCTAACATTTTATAGTGCAAGAGCCCATCCCCCTTATATACATCAAACAGAATCTGATAAGATTCTGAATCCAAGTACCTAACATCCCACACTACAGCATGTACAAATGCAAAGCTCCCTCCCACAAGTACTACTAATTCACATACTTTTTTCTGATTTCAAAGTTGTTTTATCACAGTATATTTAAGAAAAAAAAATAATGAAATTATAAAAAGAAAAGAATAGGCTAAGTTGTTCAATGGTTTTCATCACTATTTTATTTTTGCTTTGGTAGCTTTGAAGAACTGAAGGAAAACATTTCAAAGAATAAGAAGCACAGAGATTAGACCCCAGTTAACAGTTAACACTTCATTCCAGCTCAGTCAGGTATCCAACAGCCCTTCTCCTTCTACTAAAACTTTACATACCTGATAGTTGTAAGCCGGTTGATATCCTATGGGAACTTGCTGCTTTAGCACTACAGCTGGTGAGGAACTGTATGGATAGGGCTGCAAAGAAAGCTTTTCTTTAAAAAAAACCCACAAGTTTGAAGCAAGATACAAGTATGATATTTGTACAGGTATTAGCCAGGAGCACATTTTTAGAAGGTACACTGTTATTTCAATTGCTGTGCAGACTAGACTCACTATTTAAAAGCAACTCTTAGATTTCCCACAGGGCTTGCTTCAGCACTTCAGGCACTAATAACACCTATAAAGTGAGATTCCAAGTCTTATAGATCTAAAAATCCCATCTCTCCTTGTAACTGATCCTTCAAGTAATTTCAGCAGTGCAAGTCATGCCATAAGCTTTGAGAAGCAGATCTGAAGCAGACTGACTACTATGAAATAATGGAGTACAATCTGAAGGATCAGTTTCTAGAAGGCAAAGGAAGCTAAGTACTGAAATTAAGACAATTTCCAGTATTTCTTTCCTGAAAGTATTCTGACACTGTTAACATGGAATCTTCTCAGATTCTTCAGGGAACAGTTAAAGGCACATTCCAGACTTTAAGAGAATTAATGCTCTTAAATTAATAAACTAAAGAGAATCAGCAAGAATACTATTATCAAGCTCTCTGCCTTGCAAGAAAGTATTTCTGCAAGTTTGTTCTTCCTCTTTGCTTAAGACACACAAAACAGCATCAGACTAAGTCAGTTCTGCCCCATCATACAGGCTAATGCAGTAAGAGCCTGATCTGGTTCAGGACTCCTATCCAGGCCAGAAGCACTGTACTCACACCTCAGAAGGAATGCTCATCTGAAGTACCAGTACAGTGATGTCCTGCAGGCAATACTGTGCTGGGCACAGCTGTTAACAGCAGATGCTGGAACACAGTGCTCTTATAACACAACAGCAGTTGAAAACCAAGGATATGTTTGGCCAGAAGAAGAGAAAGATACCTGAGATAACTTCTGATCCCAGTCTTAGTTTACAAAAATACATTTTAAATTTTGTAGTTTATCCTGAAGCAGGACAGCAACACATTAAATATCTGGATACATTTCATTTGTGAACTGCATCTGTGACAGGCAGTAATAACTCAATCTTCCCTCCACTTTCAACAGCTCTCATTCTTAAAGGGTATCTCCCTCTTGTTTTATAATGAGTTAACAGCACTGAATCAGTTTTTCAAGCTTGCTGGCATTCCTTTGAAATGGTTTGAAGTTGGCTGCTTCTTACTGGGGAAGGCAATACGAAAATAGGCGGGTAAGATCAGACTGGACTCTCAATACGTACTCCAAAATTTGTACATCCTTGCACCTTCAAAAAATATTTCATTATGATTCAAAACCAGTGTCAGGAGCAGTCTTACCTGAACATATGGTGTTACTGGGTTCATGACAGGTGGAGGCTGCACATATGTCTCCATATTCTGATTACCCCATACACTCTGGAACTGTGTTGGAGGAGGACCAAGAACTATTTGCCTGGGATGCACGCAGGAATCTTCTTTTAAAAGAGATAAATAGTATTAAGGCATTACATGTATTTCATTAGGAATCTGAATTCAAGCTGGAAAAACCTTAAGGGTTTTAAGTCTCAAATTTAATTCAATATTAATTATATTGTACTGTGATACCAACCTCACTCTTATTAAAACATCATAGAAGTGAGGTCACAGAAGTCAGAACCCAGGTTTAACTGAAATATACATACTGCATCAGATAAAAAGTATTTGCAAGGCTAATGATGTATAATTAAGAAAAAAACCTGTTATAGTACCTGCAATATGAACAAATTTACTTAGATATACTTACTTGAGTTTTGTTGTTTTCTGATTGCTGGCCCCAGTTTCAGCTTTTTACCATGGAAGTTGATTTGTGACTGAAAGACAGGTTATTCTCTGTAAGCTGGGAATCAGCAAGGGGAGAGGTTTGCAGGATTTTAAAGAGACTGGACTCTGCTTCTACACCACAGTACATAACTCTCACAAGGGCTCAACAGCCTCCAGTCTCCTCTCTCAACACCATATGCCTTTCACCTCAGATGTCCTGCAGTGCCCTCAGGTCAGCTGCCTACTCCCCAGCTCTCCAAAATCATGTATCACTTGCCCTAATAGTAACATGCCCTACTTGAATTTGCAACTATGTATCAGTGACAGTCAGCCCTGCCGCTTTACACACACAGGTCTCAACCATTCCTGTCTCAGTGAGAGGACTATTGGCAAGCAACCACAGTCTTAGGTTTCTGATAAGGTTTTTGGTTTAGCCCCATTAGCACAATTTTAGTACCAAGCATTAAAGTCAGTATTGGATGCAGACAATCTGTCTAGATTCTCTATCACATGCAACTCTACAGAAGTGCCTGCTTCAGGAGAAAATGTGGTTTTTCAGCTTTCTCCCATTTCTGCTAAAGGAAGTGCTTTGAACAGGCAACAGCAGTTGTGTTGTTGCCTGTAAAATAAGAATAAATATAATGATTTAAAACATCTTGCTCATTCTAATTTCTATCAGCATGAGAAGATGATTCAACAGATATATGGGGGTGAAAAAAGGTGCAATAACCTGACTAGTTTGACAGGTGGACTTTTTTGATTCATGGCAAAGTGTCCTGGTTGATTCTGGGCATTTTTTAATTAATTCTGGAATCCTCTTGCGCCCAAAACTATGCAACTAACTTTTCCACCTCAACAATGAGAAGCCCTAGGAGACAGACCTCCCCTCTAAATGAAAGACAACTTTCCATTCTGAACTGCCAACAGATTCATGCTGGACCAGAGTGCAGTTACAGACCTAAAGCCGAAGAAAAACACCGTCAGGCTGAATGAGGCTACAAGGCCTTGCTGAACAGGCAGATGAACACAGGCACCAAGAGCAATTTTAGTTTATCATGTAAATTTACAGAAAACACTGTGACCACTCAGTGCAGATAAGGCCTGAAGTGATTTAGCACAGTAACCTAAAATTTGAGCTCTACAACATCCATGTTAGTTCATTTCTTCCTTTCTTCAATCCCCTCCAAAAGCCAACAGGTTCTATCTGAACTTGCTTCTTCCCGAGATGGCAGGTTATATTTGTACTGCCTGCAGACCTGAAATGTGCACTGAAAAGTAAATTCACAATATGCCTCTGGGTTTTCCAAGACCTCTAGTATACAAATTCAGATCAGTAAGTACTGTATTAATAGAGGAACACTGCAGGCTCCAGTTTTGAAGAAGCTCACACAGAAAAACAGTGGCTCAAATGTCAATGCCACTCAAGAGCGCTCCACAGAAATTGTTACCTGAAAGCAAGCATTCCACACTGATGCAGAATAAATGTAATACATAGTAAAAAGGTATTCTCAGATGAAGTCTGTTGCTCAGTACAGCAGTCACTGTATTTTTTATCATACAACACGAAGTAACAGCAAGCTTTTAAAGTCTTCTGGTGAGAATCAAGGATCTCCTGCTGGAGTTTCATTACTCTCCACTTTATTCAAACATGTTCTCTTCCCACTTACAGAACTGGATGGCCAGTAAACACACCTGCACATCACAGAACACTACATTTGTGCCTGGCACATCTATTTGTCTTTCTGATCTACTTCCCTATCTAAGAGATTCAGAAGCAAATGAGAGACTGTTCATCCTCCAGAGACACAGGAGTTTTCTGAGGTACAGACTTCAAAGAGGCAAGTATTTCAATACATGTTATTTTCACAGTTACTGTATTCAGGCTGGGGAGAAAGAGGGAAAATAAAAAGCTTTGTCAGTGGCCAAGCCTATCAGAACAAAGTACCTGATCTGATTATAAGCGCTGAGATTTAAAATTTCTCTGATCTGAAACTCCCAAGATCAGACTGTCTGCAACAGTTCTACCCCTTCACGTCCTGTGTTTGCTGGAGGAAAACTATATGGTGGCAGTGTCGTGGTTTAACATAGTTTGGTTTTTAGTTAAGGAAAAAATCCACCAGTTACCTAAGTGATTCCCTGTAAAGATCTTGGCAGCTTTCTTTTGACCTGATAAAACCAATCAGCTGGCTAGTTTTCAATACTGACACCCTGTCAAACCAATTAAAAAAAGCTGAACACACCTCTGTGAAACTACATTTAAAAATGAACAAAGCCCAGGAAAAACTTTCTTCCGGTCTTTGAACGCTGGCTGGGCCAGGCCCCGTTTGGTTTTTAGTTAAGGAAAAAATCCACCAGTTACCTAAGTGATTCCCTGTAAAGATCTTGGCAGCTTTCTTTTGACCTGATAAAAACAATCAGCTGGCTAGTATTCAATACTGACACCCTGTCAAACCACTTAAAAAAAGCTGAACACACCTCTGTGAAACTACATTTAAAAACAAAGCCCAGGAAAAACTTTCTTCCGGCCTTTGAACGCTGGCTGGGCCAGGCCCTGCTCCACCACACAGCCAGGCTGGCAGAGATGCTGCCAACCACAGCCTGGCCCTGCTCTGGCTGCGAGCTGCCGAGCCATCCGCGGAAAAATCACCCGGCTAAGAACAGAGGCAGCCCTGCAGCTGGAATTAATGCGGCAGGGGCCGAAAGCAGCCACGCAGCCAGAGTGCAGCCAGAGCGGAGATCACATGAACATCCGCAGGCACGGTCCCCATTCCATGGCAGGAGAGGCTCCTCGCCCTAAATGAACTGAAGATTAGATTTTAAAAGTGGTAAACTGACTGAAAACACCAAATTTGTCTCTTTACGTTGTCAGTAGGAAAAGAAAGAAGACTTGGGGGTAGGAAAAGTGTTCTGAAAGTTTATTTTGATTTCTTATTATTTTTCTTTTAGTCCTGTTAATAGTTTTCTTCATACCCTTTAAAATTTTGAGCCTGCTTTGCTCTCCTCCTTATCTTGCAGCAGAAAATGAGTAAATTGTTCTAGTGGGTGCACTGGTGTTTTCCAGCACTGGACACACTACACACAGGAACAGCCACAACACAGTCTAGGAGGCTTAACAAATACTTGTGCATCCAAACGCAAATACTGCTAGAGAAACACATTTCAACTACTGAGATGTAAGTAAAAAATTAATACTGTCTTTCATGATACTGTTACTCCCATGCCCTAGGTAACTCAAAATGTTATTATATTTCATCTATCTGTGCCCAAAATTGTTACTGTCTCTTAATACCCGGGAGCCAGAAAACAACTATGGGACAGAGTGGGGCAAGTGCCCCAGCCTTACAGAAGTTCGAGGCAGAGAGCACTGTCTCTTGCCTCATGGTCTTTGCTCAATGCAGAAGCTCTGCTCTGGGTTTTTTCCACCCTCTCTTTCTCTTGCATGTTGGACTGGCTCAAGGTGAATTCCACCACAACTGCCTGTCTGCAGCCACCATGGAGCAGCCCTGCAGAAGTGAAGGCAGCCACCCCAGCCCAGCTGCCCGGCCTTGCCTGGCATCTGCTGCCAAGGAAGGCAAATCCCTCCATGAGTGCCAACCCTTGACCAAGTACCAGCTGCTGAAGAGTGCCAGCTGCATTCATCAATGAAGAGCTAAGGAAGGTGAGGGCTGTCACCATTTCCCCCTTGTCTTTGGACTACACAGTTGGTCAGCTGCACAGGCTACTACTTGGGGAAGCTGTCACCCCACCAATTCAAGTGTCTCTTTGTTTCCTGGGAGTCCAGGAGATTTCAGCAACTTTGTAACTAGTGACTATTACTGTTATTTTTTTGCCTGTTGCTATTTTCTTCATCATTAGAAAACTGTTATTTTTTTACTTATATCTATCCATATTTGTTTCTCCTTATTGGTGGAAAGGGACTGGTTAATCTAAAGGAGAGACTACTTATGTTAGAGTGTCCCGCTTTAATTATATTAAACCAAGCCATCCCAACAACAAAATGTCTACACTTTTGCCATAAGCAAAAGGGTTCTATGACACTCATCCACTACCAAAAGCAAGCAGCCAAACGCCTCAAGGCTTTCAAGCACATAAATAAAGGAGAGCAATCAGAAACAAAATGACATGAGATGTTTGGCCACACCAGGCTAAAAACTAATCAGCTGAAAACTAATTTTACTTCTTATTTAAACAAAAATGTAAAGATTTTAACCACCAGTACACATTTTAGAGAGTTCACCTTTTGGGCAGCCCTATACTTTTTGTGTCCTAACTTACTCTACAGGGTCTGTAACTTGACTTCCACAAACTTGTCTCCAGCCTTCATACCTCTACTTCTCAGAGTAATTTGGACAAAGAACTTACCTCAACTATCTTTTGAACATCCACATTGTCCACGAAAGACACAAATCCATACCTAAAAAGGAAGAACAGACTACTCAGTAATCAGCTTCATTTGATTAGCCAAATTCTTTGAAACAAGACCAGTTAACAACGTGACAGGTACATTATATTGCACATCAAAATTATCAACTACGACATTCGTTTACGATTCAGCCTAAAAATGTATTTACTGCTAACTAGCATTATCTATAACGGGACCAGATGAAAGAAACTAAATGCCAGATTTTAGAGTAACATGAAATAGAAATAAGGGCTAATTTTCCATTTTAACTGCTCAAAATGAGTACTGCTATTAGTATTAGCAACTCAGAAAGTTAAAAATTTAAATAAGATCTGATTTCTCTTTAAATTTTGTATTTACTACTGAGGTCTGGATGAAAGCAGGCATTATAGGAACACCAGTGAGAGGGAAGCAATTCTTGAAGAGGTTTTGCAATTTATTTCACTGCATCCCTAATTTATCTGGCCTACACGATCAAGATAATTTCAGAGCATTATAGTAACAATTATGTCCCATTAATGGAATAAGTCAAATGATTATCAATACTTATAACATACACCAGCTAACTGCACAGCAGGGTTCACTTTGCAGACTAGCAAGGGATAAGAGAAAATATACTTTATTTCCAGCTCTTCCATTGCTACATATACTGAAGAAAAAGATGTGACACTCTAGGATCTAAGCATAGAATCTAAGAAAAACTGGGCTGGGAGGAACTTCAAGATGGTACTGTCTCCTTCTCAAAACTGGGATGGCTTCCCCAGAACTCAACAGGGTGAGGTCCTTCATCTTCTTATTTAAGGGTTTCACCATGGTAAACCAGAGCTCCTCTATATATTCAAAGGGAATTTCCCTTGTTTCAACTTTGTTCACATACTTAAGTCTTCACCCAAACAAGTTTGGGCTGTTTTACTCTAGAACTTATTCACAAGTGTCAGGAGAGGGCAGTCACTGCCCTGAATAAGCCATCTTAATTGTCTTAATCATCCTGAACTGTCTCCAGATTTTTAAATACTCTAGCCAGCAGAAGAGTCCTACAAAAGAATTGGCTGTGTAAGCATCACACAAGTTAGGCTTTGTTTCCAAAGGTAGAGTGACTGTGAGCTTCTTTTCCCTGAACAGAAAGACTGAAATCAGAAAATTAGTGCTATTCTTTTTAAGATTATACAGATTTAGTTGGGAGCAGTATAGATTTACTGGTTTCACAGCCTTAACTCACCACAACAGAAAACTGCAGCTAGTATTAAGGCTTAAGCGTGTCAAGTGTGTAGCTAAGCATCTGCTCATATCACCTATTACAGAATGCTGGTCACATAAGCAGCAACTTACAACAACTACTCATATTGTACCCACCCCTTCGAAACACCACTTCTGTCAGTGATGACCTTCACCTCCTTCACAGTACCATATTGTTCAAAGACACTCCGAATTTCTGCTTCGTTCATCTAAAAGGAAACAAGGTTTTCAACATCTTCAAAAACATACAACTGCTTAGAACTGATTTAAAGCAGACAGTACCATTTTTAAAACTGATTTTCCACTACCATAAAAACAAAAGGTTAGTTCTGGAAGACATGTTCCAGAATTCTCCCATGTCTAGAAGGTCAATACCTTCTAGATTGGCAAATGCACACACAAAAAAATAAAGAACCCCACCACCACAAACAAAGTAAAAAATCCCACACTAAAACAGGAGCAAAATTTCCACTTATTCTCCACTGATGTACCCTATATCCATTTTAAACAATTAAAAAAGTGTATACATACCCTTAAGTCAATTCCACCCACAAAGACTGTGTTGGGCATGATTTTTCCTTCTGGTAAAACATAGCCCTGACTGACTGTTGCTGGATAGGCACTGCTCTCTGTAGTGCTTGAACACTGGGTCTCCACATGTGCTGCCTAAAAAATTTATACAGAAACACTTATTTTAGTCAACTAGATTACATTTTAAGATATCAGAATGCCTGCACTTTCCTGCAGATACAGCAGTGGACAAGGAATTTCAATAGCACAGATGGACCATTCATTGGTTCTAACACTTCTCAGTTCAAATTAAACTGACTACAAAATCTGGCAGGAAGATTAGCATGAAATGAGCAGTTTTTCACCCACCTGGTATTCTGCTTTTGTTTGGCTGCATACCCAGCTAAAGGGCATTTGAACTGAAATCTGAGATGGCAACTCCTCAAGCTGACCTAACTGTTGCTTCTACTTCTTTCTTTCTTTCTGGATGTGTCAGTGAACCAAGCTAGAAGTGGTGCTCACTTTGCTGTGCAAGTTCTCTGGCAGCCCTAAAACAGGAAGCAGCTCTCAGTAGAGGTGCCCAGCAAGAGCCAGAACCAGCTGAAGGAAACTGGTAACCACAGACACTGCTGGTAACCACAGATGCTGCTGGTACACCTGTCACACGCAGCCTTGGCCACCATGGAAGGGCAGTGTTTGTGTCTCACACTAATGATGCAGAATTTTCAAAGAAAATTAGCTTATTTAACACTCTCACACATTATGTACCTGAAAGAAAGAATAAACAGACTACTTAGGCATTCTGGCAAGCTGGGCAACATCAAAAATAAAATTTATTAATACACGTATTTCCTAGAACTTGAAAAGGAGATGAAAAATGTACAGTGGTAAAATTCTCCTGGAACAAAAAGAAAGAAAATCTCCCGCCAAAGCCACTTTTCAAGTCCTCAGTACTATGATGGAAATTGTTTGCAAATTCAAAAAAATTACTGTCTTATCTAAACCCAAATAATTTTGCCAACATAGCACTACACAAATGACTGTTCGACATACACCTCACACTGCTCCTGCATCAGTGTCCAAAGGCTAAATCACCTCAAGTTTTGAAGCGGGAAATTCTGCCTATGATGGATTGTCTATACTGGAACTACAGCATCAGCTGAAGTGACTCACCCCTTTAAAATTACTCTAAAATAAGTCTAATTTGTCTTGTCTCATGAAGTAGCTCTGAAACCAGATTTTCAGATGTCACGAATATTGGGGTTTATTCAGTTTTTCAGCTTATCAGAATTTACAGGGTTTTTTTCCTTCTCTCGTCAAAATATAAAACTAATCTGTTTGCTCTCTATTATTCCTGCAAGCATGAAGTTGAAACTGATATGGGGAAACTGGTATAAAGGTCCTCCTTACAGTAGTCGGGAGACTAGTTAATAGTTTTGGCAAAAGAAAAGGTGAAAAAGGACGATTGTTCGGCCACGTGGAGGAAATGCCTACCTACCCACTGACCTGTGTTACAAATATCACTCAGTTTTATGCTTATCCAGGAGACAAAAATGTTCACTTTTTTTTGGCCACACAAGCCCGTGATTTCTCAGGCTTCTCCCTTGGTCTCAGCACATTCTCTGTTTAAAATAAGCATTAGTCCTTTTATTTTTTTTTTTTTTAATTGAACCATTTAAACCCCGGACACTGAGCGCAGTCTCCATGACAGCGCCGGCGCCTGAGGGAAGAACACGGCAGTCGCCGCAGCCCTCCCGCTGGGCGCTAAGCGGAGCCCTCAGCCCAGCACGGCACGCTAAGCACAACTTCGCCTGTATATATGTAAAAAAAAAAAAAAAATTTTAAAAATAAAATTTAAAAAAAGCCCCACCACCTTACTCCTAGAGTGTCTGAAGCGTCAGCGCCACAGCCGCAAATCACGTTTCTCAAAGAGAAAGGACAAACAGCAAGCAGCATGCTGGTGCGAGCCGAGGAGCCCGCGGCACTCCGGGCGACGCCGGGCCTTTGCTCCGGCAGGGGGGGACGTAGGACCTCGGGCAGGCGAGGCGCCGCTCGTGGTGCCGCCGCCATTTTACCTCACACCTCGGCTGCCCAGCGCCGACGGGGCGTGGACAGGAAGGTTTGGCGCTCAGGACAACGAAAGCCATTCGCAAGCCCCAGACAAAGGGTTCTGCCGGACCCTACGCGCAGCGGCTACACCGCCACAGACAGGCGGAGGGGCGCCCGCCCAGCCGTGCGGGACGGTGCTATTTTAGCACCATCACAAAATGGCCGCTCGAGGGTGCGAAGCGCGTTCCGACGCCAAGCCCCCCCCCCCGCCCCAACACCGTAACGCCGAGAGCTACGAGCCAGAGGCTCCCCTGCACAAGCCCCCGGCCTTTCAATTGCGGTACTCCCTCCTTCACCTTAACCGCTCACCTCGTAAGGTGTTAAAACCCTCAAGGCAGTTAAAATGCTAGTAGCCCTCAGGGGTTCAGCCCCGTCACCGCGCTACACTGGGACACTGCTCCAGCTGAGGGCACTCCCGTTTCCCACCCCAAGAACAACCCGAAGAATTTACTACTCCACTTCAGCTCCGCTGCCTGCTAGGGGTCCCCAGTGCTCAAGGCACTACATCAGCCAGCATAAGCCCGCCCAGCGGCTCGGCGTTCAAACTCCCCTCCGCCACTGCCCCAGCGTGGCTCCCCTGCGGCGTTCACTCACCATCACTCCCTGGAGCCGAGGCTGCGCTCACACACTTAAAGTATAAGGATTTTCAAGCTAAACCCGTGCGAACTTTTTTAAGAAGACCAAGCGCAGACGACCGCTTTTCCTCGACGGCGAAGCTGAATTCTCGACGTCGATAAAAGCCCACCGAAGGTCATCCCGTTCTCCTTAAATAGCCCCATTGGGGGATGGGACAGAAGAGGCCACACCCTCCTCTCTTCGCACTTGGCGTCCCTTCCTACTCCCTTAGCGTGCCTTCGCACTCCCTTGGCGTATGAGTTTTGGAAGACAAAAGATGGAGAATACTGTGGCTTTTCCGGTTTTTTTCGTTTGTTTTTTGCTTTTTTTTTTTTTTTTTTTTTTTTTTTTTTTTTTTTTTGAGGGAGAGAATTAGGTTGTGGCTACCATTTGTGGCATTTTTTGCACAGGGAGTTGTTGGTGAATGCACGTCATAGCAGCAGCAGCTCCTGCCGTTTTGATAAGAGCTTGTACTTCGCTTGTGCAAATGTTGAGAATGGCGAGTTAATGAAGAGGCTTTCACACGCTTTGAGGCGAAAGCTCCGTCTCCATCCTGTAGCCACGTGTGCTGAATGCCAGCTTTCTGTCTGATCACCAGTGGCCCAAGGCCTCTCTGGAAGGCCTCCTGATTCTACAGGAATAAGATGGGATTTGGAAATTAGTTTTAAATAGCTGTTTGCCACTGGTATCAAATGTTTAGAACAGATGATGATTTTGGAAAGTTCCAGGGAGAGTGGAATCCTATGGACATCTCATCAAAATTAACCCAACCTCTGACTGGGCTAGGTTAATATGATGTTTAATTTATAGTTTGGGTTTTTTTGGGTTTTGTTTGTTTGGGTTTTTTGTTTTATGGTTTTTTAATTTGTTTTGGTTTTGTTAGTTTGGTAGTTTTTATAGCAAAGACATACAAGTGATCCTTGTTAAGGATGAAAAAGTGAAGTAGAAAGCAGAACTGATGGAGTGTATTTAACATGTAAAATGGTTTTTCCAATCAAATTTTATGTCTTCTAATAATTAGGTTATTTAAATCAGTTTATCAAGTGTTTACCTTTTCCAGATGTTATTGTTAGAATCCAAAGTAGACTGCTGCACTGGATTTACCTGGTACCCAGAGCTGGTTTAGGTAATAGCAATAACAAAGCCCTGATCACATAGATGTGTTTATGTTACCTATAGAAGAGATTTTGTTAAATCTGGTGGGGTTGCAATATTATCTAAAGGTAAGTGCATGCCTGGGCTTTCATGCAGGTAATACCCAATACCAATACTTAAATAAAAGCTGTACAATACTTTATAAGGACTTATTTGAAATGGCTGCGACTTTGAAAATGGACCCAACAATGAGGGGGAAATAATACATAGTATTTACTTTGGTAGAATGGATTAATAATTGACCTTAAGAGTGGCAACAAGTGAGGCTGTTCCGAGCTTTTTGCACTGGGTTTGGGTCAGGCTTGTGTCTTGTTTTCCTTAACTTGATGTTAGCTTCTGAAATTGGAGAAGATTTGTTGATTAAAACAAAGGAGAAAGTAATTTATTTTCTGCTGCCAAGATACAGATTTCAAAAGGAGTGGAGGAAGTGGAGTAGGAAATTGTTTTAGCTTGTTTTTTTCAATACAGCTGTTAGAATTGTTATTGCTCAATAGGTTTATTTGTTAAATGCACTAAGTAGCAGAAGAAGAAACAAATTTTATATTCTGCTACACCATGTAGTACTTACCACTTTAATACACTTTTTTTTTTGTTTCATTTTTCATCTTTAATTAGGACACTGGTAAATCAATTAATTTAGTAAATCAGAGTAATTCATGGAGAGCCTCTAGCTTGGGATCTGCTAGGTTGCAGTGGATGAGAATTCTACAAAAAATGTGATGAAAAATTATCAGTCTGATTACAGATAGTAGAGGTTGCGTCTTCAAATTTAATATTATTTAATTTAATTTTAGGGAATATTATTTTCAACATTAATTAATTTCTTTAAATGTCACTAGTGGAATTTGGGAGCTTATTTTTTCTAGAAACTACAGTATTTTAGAACACTTGAATTAGTCTGATAATAAATTTAACTCATAGAGTCAATAACTAAGTGAAAACTTAAGAGCTAAACCATACATAACTTGAGTTATCTGTAACCTAAGTCAGGACATTGTTGAAATCATTGTATGAGGTTGTCAAGGCTATGTCTAGCACTATCAATAATTGTGATTTGCTTTTAGGCATTTAAATTTGGACAAGTTCTTTAAATTTAACCTGAATAACTTTAACCACTGTAGCAAAGCTGGTTCACACTTCAGTTTGTACTTTAGCATGACAAAAGTTTCAGTGTATTGCACACGTATGTAATATTCTTCATCCAAACATTCTACATGAATTGGTCATACAAGTACACAGGAATATGTAAAACCAGCTGTGCATGATTCAGATCAAAAGTGCTGTGATTTGCTTTTAGGCATTTAAATTTGGACAAGTTCTTTAAATTTAACCTGAATAACTTTAACCACTGTAGCAAAGCTGGTTCACACTTCAGTTTGTACTTTAGCATGACAAAAGTTTCAGTGTATTGCACACGTATGTAATATTCTTCATCCAAACATTCTTCATGAATGAGTCATAGTACATAGGAATATGTAAAAACAGCTGTGCATGATTCAGATCAAAAGTGTCTCCAGTTCAGTGTCTTCGTTCAGAGTAGCCAGGAGTGCCTAGAGAAAGGATGTGAAGACAGGGCAGGTGTGAAGTGATTTTTCTTACTTTTAGCTTCTCCCTGTGCTTGCCAGCCTCCAAAGCATGTCCTGAGCCCCTTTCATGACTGTATTTGATGATACTCAGTGATTTTTCCTGTAAAGTTCTCTGGTCTCTTTTTGAACTTGGGCTTAACCCATGCACAAGAGCACTTAACACTGGGGTGGCCACAGGGCAAAAAGGTACTGTATGGAAACAAAGTACTTGGTTGCTTAAGCTTTTCTCCTTATAATTAGAGCCATGTCATTCATTCAACACTAGGACAGAATAAAAGTAAAATATGTTTATGAACAATTGCTCCTTGCTATCCAATGCTTCCAGGACTGCTCTGAATTAAAACAAATTGTACACATCTCTGGTTTCTAGAAAGAGTTTTTTCACTGCACTGGGAGTTTGAATATCTCTTGGCTTTAAAGTTAGTTTGTTAGAAGTTCTTCAACCTTTTCTCTAAACTTACAGACCCTGAAAACTTTTCTTCCCTCACCATGCTACAAGTTCAAATTACTTGCAATGACAGGAGCCATGTCCCTTCCTTCAGAGTGTTTCACCTGTGTCTTGTGTTTAAAGAATGGACTAGAAGCTGGAACAAATAGAACAAACACTGACTGATGTTGGTCACTTGCTTGCAGAGCATTACTGTTAAAAACAGGACCACACTCCCGGTACTAAAAGTTATTTCAGCATTTAGTATTAAAAAAAAAAAAAAAGGCCTAAAGCATGGGGGCCTGCGGGCCGAGCAGGAGCGTCGAGGATGCTGCAGCGCCGGCGCTGGGCTCTTGTGGGCAGTGTTCCAGCTGGAGCGGCCCTGGGTCAGAAGCTGGCCCGGTTTTAATCCCGGTTTTAGTCCGTTTGGATTGCTTTCCTTTTGGATCCTTCATTTGCATGAAGGTTTACGGCGCTTGATTTGCCCATTACAGTTCTGTCCAGGCTGGCTCGTTTCACTAGGGGGTGGCGCACTTCACTTAGTGTGTGATCTCGTACGTTGAGTACCGTATTTCTCACAACTACCCTTTTAACCCCTTCTACCATAGCCAGACTAACAGTACATGCTTAACAATTATCAACTATTTTACAGCAGTTTCTAACCTATTTTTGACAATTACCCTTCCATATGCTATAGCTGATTTAGCCCATCTTTCACTCAGTTGTTTCCTTCTGGAAAAGTAACAACTTTTCACAGTCTTCATTTTATATTTGATTAAATAAACCCCAGCTATCTGTTTTTTCTCATTTTCGATTTTTATAAAAATTATTCTCTGAAAAGGATAGAACTGAGAGATAAAGGTATTTTAAAACTTTTTATTATCCTAAAGATAAATCCTAAATCAAAATTATATATAACAATCCTAAATCAAAATTATATCTACAGTATATATTATAAATGGTCTGATCTTTTTAAGATTATTCCTGACCACAGATAAAAAATCGCATAGGCATTTAATATGATTGAAATAGTGACCTGCAATCCTATATCCAGACTTCTAACAATACTGTATAAAACTGGGAAACCCTAAAAAGAAAACATATAGTCTGCAGATGTCTGCTTGTTTTTTGAACCTTGGACAAATCCTTGTCATTTTTTGGCTGTTTTCATATATGGCTAAAGGTCACAGGCTTCTTCTCTATTTTTTATTTCTTGATCTATACTATGTGCTGACACCACGAAGAAAGAAAACCAGCAGTGGATATTTGTCATCTTTGTTCCTCTGAGGAGAACTACTGCTCCATAAAACTCCCCAGCCATCAGCGCCTCACATCAATGCTAAGTGCTGCATTTGCATCTCACTGCAGCAAGTGTGCTCCGACAGGTCTGGTGCAGTTCTGGAGTACGTTTTGTCCGTGCAGCGTTTGTTCTCACTATGCTAGAAGCAATTGCCTGCTTAATGGAGACACTTGATTTGAGAGTAATTTTCCAAATCCTTCTCAATCTTCCCTCTACCAGGTGAAAATAATATATTTAAATAATGTAAGAAATACATAAGGAAGTGACTTCATTGGGTTTATCATTTTAAGATATTTCTCACAAAGCTAATGGGTAAGGGGATATAAAAATAAAAGTGCAATTCCTTCCTTTTTTATCCTCCACAGAATTACAGTATCATTTGGTGGTTGGTCATTTGAAAAGGCAGCCAAAAAAGCCTCAGCATTCAAAAATGTTTGAATCAAAGGAAACAAAGAGGAGGAATGCTAAACATCTGTGTCTCCTTCTCTGATAGTCTTAGCCACGCAACTGTTGTGGACTGTGAATCAGTTCTGACCCTCAAGGAGGATCAAATCGTTTATGAAGTGAGAGGAAGGATACATTTACAAGGCCTGAAACCTGAAAGCCGTTCTTCAGAAATTTAAGGCTTGTGTGTCTTTGCACAAGTATGTA